TAAAAAAATGACTAAAAGAGTATATTAATCTTTAAAGTGGACATAATAATATTTTAATTGTGTGCGTATCTATAATACTATAGACATCAGAGGTAATAATTCTGGAAAGCAAATAGCATGTTTCCTGGTACACTGTAGAAGTTTAATCAATGTTAATTATTATCAGAATTATTCAACAAATGGAATTGTGTTAACTGATTATCAAAATAGAATCATTTAAGAATGACTGAGATCCTCAACTAACATTAAATACCAATAAAATCCCAATTTAATCTGTTCCACTCTCCTGGGGTATGCTGAACAATCAGTTCTAAACTAAGATTTTATTGAATAAATTACTAAAGAAAAGAGCAAGGAACACTGAATACTTTTGTAGGCAAATAAAATTGGACAATATATCAGATTCTTCAGTTGCAAGCAACAGAAATAGGAAATTCATAGGAAATATATTAGGTAGCTCACAGCACCAATGAGAGAACAGAGTAAACTGGACAAGAATCAGGAGAGTCCTGGGTGTCCCGGTGGCAGAAACTGTCCATCTACTCAGGGGACCTTAGCTGAAATGAATGAAATCCAATCATTTTTCTATCACTGTGTCATTCTTCTTACAACTCAAAATTCAGAGAGAAATATTGCAAGGTTGGGTCATATGCCTATACCTTGCTGCAGGAGGCAGGGACCACAGTTAGATCCATCCAAGATTGAAATCTGTAGGTGAGAGATAAGTCTCCAGAGCAAAATCAGAGTACTATTGCAAACATAAATAGAGTAAATTTATGTCTATGAAAAAGAAACTACATACCACAGAGAAAAAATGCAAAATATGAAGCTTTACCAAAAAAATCATTCTGAAATCATATGACTAGAACTGCCAGATAGTGATAAATGTAATAAAATTGTAAAGAAAAAACCAATTAACTCTTAAAAAGTTTTAAATTATATATTGCATGCCAAACTCCATGTAGAGGCATACATGTCTTTATGTGCATGTGTATATTTATTCAATTCTGATGCATTTTTGCATTTTGCAAATAAACCTTTTATCCAAGAATACATAGCCAGAGTTGATAAGTGAACTTATGTCTGTCAAACTGTAATGTCCATGAAATAAAGAATATAGTGTTGACCATATATTGATTGTTCAATCAACAAATATACATTGAGCACGAATTACTTGCCAGAGTGTGGAGTAAAGCACAAAGTAATGAACATAAAAAATCCTTCTCTCATACATCTTATCTTCTATGTGAAGAGACATACAATAAAGAAACAATTAAATAAGTAATATTTGGGTGTTTTTAAATACTTCAAAAAATAATAAAGAAAAAATGATAAACGGTTGAGACATGAAAGGACAGAGAATTATTTTAGGCAAAGAGATCCAGATGGCCTCTTTGGTGATATGACATTTGAGCAGCGACTTAGATAAGATAAACAGCGAACTGCAATAATGCTCCAGGATGAAGAAACATAAAACGTAAAAGCTGAATAAGACCGAGACCGCAAGTGTGACTGAAGAAATTCCACAGAGGAAGCCTCTGGATGCTGTACATGCCATTTCAGGGCAGTGCATCCTAAGCAGTGATACTTTTTCCCTGTGGCTTATTTTTTTTAATAGATGTCATAACAGTTTATAACATTGTGAAATTTTAGTTGTACATTATGGTTTGTCAGTCACCATATAAATACATCCCTTCACCCCTTGTGCCCATCCTCCAACCCCCTTCCCCCTGGTAACCACTAAACTGTTCTCTCTGTCCGCGTGTTTATCTTCCACATATGAGTGAAATCATATGGTGTTCATCTTTCTCTGTCTGGTTTATTTCACCTAACATTATACCCTCATGGTCTATCCATTTTGTTGCAGGTGGGATGATTTTGTCTTTTTTATGGTTGAATATTATTCCATTGTGTGTGTGTGTGTGTGTGTGTGTGTGTGTATATATGTACACATATATACACACACATATATATATACACACATATATATATATAATGTGATTTTTTTTAAAGAAGGAATCATATAGCACTGTTTAAAGCTACCAAGAAAATATGCCCCAGTTTTTTATTTTGTTTTCTTTTCATGGTGCATGGGGGCTTGGACTGAGTGGGAAATAGATCACAATTAAACTAGCATAAAGTGCCTAGGAAGATCTTAATTTATACAGTAAACAGTCACCTAGTGAAAAAGTTATGGGCACTTTAATCTATTCACAAAAGTAATCATTTTTATTAGCTTTCATATAGCTCATAGTAAATCCCTTCTCCCAAGAAAATATTACATAATGCCCCCCTACTTTCAACCTTCACCATTTCTAAAGCACCTACATCATATAAAGGAGTGAAGAAAATTATCTTGAGGATCAGAAAACTTAGCTTGAAAACTTTGCCCTCTGTTTCAGAATATCCAGAAGTGTCTGTTACTGTTTTTCAGGACCTTTTCTCCTTTTATGATCCAAAGAGTGACATCCAGATTCCATGGAAAGCCATACCATGAACAGAATTTCTTCATCTTTCCCAATGCCTACCTTCTCTAAAGAGGCTTTTGTTTACCATCCTTGCTAAAATGTACTCCTTTACACTGTATTTTGTTTCCTTGATTATTTTTGTCACATAAATCACTATGGATTTGTAATAATTTTTAAATCTTTTTGTTTGTTTACTTGTCTTTCTACTCCATTAGCCTGTAACTTTCATGAGGACTTTTCCCTTCAATGTGAATAACATTCGATAGATTATGTCAGGCAACTAAGAGGCATACGTAAAAAATGTTTTAATTAATTATTCATTGTAGTATTCTTTGACTCTCATTTCCTCTTAATTGAATAGCCTCTTGACCAAGTCACTATCCACCACATACACCAAAACTGGCAGAAATCATGGTGAAAAATAAGGAAAACAAATAAACAAAATTCCAGGGCTGGAGCTATTTACATCCTTCAGTGTCAGTGGAGTAAAGTTAAATGCCTTTTAAAGAAGGCCGTCAAGATAAGACAGAGTGAGGGTCTCAGCGAGTCTTACAATTGTACAAAAACATGGTTTATCCCCTTATTTCTTGGATTTGCTGCTGTTACAGAAAATAAAATGCAGAATTCTGTTGAAAGAATATCGCACCTGGAGAAAATAAAAGTGTGAGACTAAATTATGAATTCATGGGCAATCCATTGATTCTTCATGGTTCTTAGGATCATTATCTGTAAAAATAGAATTAATGTCCTGCCTATTACATAAAAATCAATAAATAACAATAGTCATAACTAACACTTTATCAAAGAACTGCAATTCATTCTGCACTTTACATGCACAAATCATGTAATTACAGTGGCAAAATTTACTCTGAGCAGAGAGTATAGGGGATATTAAAGGACTTTGTAAAACGTCTACTGCAAACACAATGGTAGTATTAGAAAGTGCTATGGTTACATACTTCCTGAATAATTCACTTTTTTTAACAAGCACATGAAAAGATGTTCAACATCACTAATCATTAGAGAAATGCAAAACAAAACCACAATGAGATATTGCCTTATGCCCATCAGAATGGCTATTATTAAAAAGACAAGAATAACAAACGTTGGAGAGGATGTGGAGAAAAGGGAACTCTCATACACTGATGGTAGTAATGTAAATTCGTACAGTCACTATGGAAAACAGCATGGAGATTTCTCAAAAAATTAGGAATAAAAATACCATATGATCCAGTCATTCCACTTCTTGGTCTTTCTCCAAAGAACATGAAAACACTAATTCAAAATGACATATACACCCCTATGTTCATTGCAGCATTATTTACAATAGCCAAACATGGAAACAAAATAAGTGCTCATATAAGGATAAATGGATAAAGAAGATGTGATTTATATGTACAATGGAATACCACTCAGTCATAAAAAAGATAAACTCTTGCCATTTGCCACAACATGGATGGACCTTGAGGGTATTATGCTAAGGGAAATAAAACAGATGGAGAAAGACAAATATCATATGATTTCACTCATATGTGGAAGATAGAAAAACAACAACAACAACAACAAACACATAGGTGCAGAGAACAGATTGGTGGATAGCAGAAGGGAAGGAGGTGAAGGGATGGGGAGAGAGGTAAAGGGGGACATTTGTACAGTAATGGATGGAAACTAGACTTTTAGTGCTGAGCACAATGTAGTATACACAGAAGTCAAAATATATTGAGGTACACCTGAAATTTATATTATAAACCAATATTACCTCAATACAAAAACAATAATTCAATTTTTATAGTTTTATTAATACTATATAATTGACATATCATGTTGTATTTGTCCAAGATGTACAACATAATGATTTGATGTATGTATATATTACAAAATGATTACTACAGATTTAGTTAACATCAAACAATTTACCTACAATTTTTTACTTTACATCACATTGGTTTATAACATTAAAATTTTTTTCTTGTGAAGAAACTTAATATCTTCTCTTTTAACAAATTACAAATATACAGTAGAGTATTGTCAACTATAGTCATCATAGTGTATATTACGTCCCCAGAACTTATTTTCTTTAAAACTGGAAGTTTTTCTATCTTTTGACCATAATGCACTTTTTAACAGTTTACGTTTAATGAGTCAAGGCCAAGCTCACAGACAATTAAGGGATCTCAACACCTTGTAAGCAAAACAGAAGTACTATTAAGTCACTGGTTGTAACATTTATTCAGGATTTAACAAAGAATCTCTCATAAGCTAGTCACAAAACTTGAGAATATTTTTTAAAGTTTTGAGATTCAATAATCTACCCATCTCACTTTAAAGTTTTAAAACTCATTCTTGCTGAGTGAGAAATGAGTACTTCAAAATGAGAGTATTGTAACCTAAAGACGTTGCATGACTTTTCAATGACACAGAGGAAGAAAGAGTGAATCTCAACATAAAAGTAGGACTCCCAACACCCAGCCCACCTTCTTCCATCCTGCATATGTATTAGCTCTCAATCTGCAGTACAAATGATATTCTAGATTACCTACACATAAGAAACTTCTTCCTTTCAAATACTCTTCTGAATGAATCCTGGACCTCTTTGTTTCTCAGGCTGTAGATGACGGGGTTCAACATGGGAACCACTGCTGTGTAGAACACAGAAACCACTTTATCAATGTCCAGGGAGAAACTAGAATTTGGATGGACATAGATAAAGAAGAGTGTCCCATAAAGGATGGAGACAGCTGTCAGGTGTGAAGTGCAGGTGGAGAAGGCCTTACGCCTCCCGTCAGCAGAGCGGATCCTCAGGACAGCGATAACAATGTAAATGTAGGAGACCAAGATGATCACACCACTGAGTACTCCTACAGCTCCAGCCAAAATGGAAAGTAAAACCTGATTGACTTGGGTGTCTGCACACGCCAGGGAGAGAATAGGAAGAAGGTCACAGAAGAAGTGATTGATGATATTGGGGCCACAGTAAGGCAGGCAAAAGGTAGAAGTTGTATGGGTCGTGGCAATTAAAAGACCCACAGTATACGGCCCTACCACCAGCTGCACACAGACCCGCTGAGACATAATGAATGTATACAACAATGGCTTACATATGGCCATATACCGATCATATGCCATGGAAGCCAGGAGGAAACATTCAGTCACAACAAAATGAACAAAAAACCATAACTGGAGAGCACAACCAAAGAAAGAGATGACTTTTTTCTGCACAAAGATGTCAGTCAACATCTTGGGACCAATGACAGAAGAGGAACAGACATCCACAAAGGACAAGTGACTGAGAAAAAAGTACATGGGGGTGTGGAGTCGGGAGTCCATGCAAATGAGGGTGATCATCCCCAAGTTTCCCAAAAGACTGATGAGATAAACCAAGAGAAATATCACAAAGAGGACAACCTGGTGATGAAAGTGATTTGTTAAGCCCACAAAAAAAAACTCAGTCACCAAAGTTTGATTTCCATAATCCATTCCTCTGATTTAACCTGTCAAGAGAAAGAGAGAATATTTATTGTGCAATTTATTAATAATTAAAGACATCTTAATTCTAAATCTGCATTTAACTTCTAGTTTTTTAAGTTAAAAAGGATAGCCTGACACCCAACTTTCTTGAATTCTACTCCTGACAGTCATGATATCTATCTGCAAACTATTTGTGTGATCCTGAGTAAGTCACTATACCTTACAGGGCTCCTTTGTTTCCTCCTTGGAAACAGGATTTTTGAATGGAATCATAGAATTTTAACCTAGAATTTAACATTAGATATTATCTAAGGCAAGTCCTCTAGCTGCATCGTTATATTTCTAAAAATAATTACCTTTGAACCCAGGATATTTTAGGAAGCACTTCACTGAAAAAGGTACCGTGAGAATTCAATGAATTCAGACTGACACCTATTCTTACCGCATAGTGAGGGTAAACAGGTGTTAGGAATTTAACTTCCTTCTAATATCCTTAGATTTTATAGCAATAGTGAATTGAGTTGTGTAAAGCATAAGTTCTAATGTCTAAAGAAGGAGAGCAAACTGAAACTAGAGAAGTTAGAAGTTAGCAAAAGGCTCAACAGTATATCCTCTGTGACTCCTTTTCCAAAACACCTATGTTCCTTCATATCAAATATATATACTCATTAATCTAGTCAAACTCCATCAAAGTTTAAGTCCATCAAGGAAGATACAGGAGCACCCCTGTGCAGTTATCATAGAAAAACAAATATTTACGTCTACACAAAAAACCTGTAGAATTTTATTCATATATGTTTTTCTATAACACCAAATCTACGAAATAACAAAAACATCCTACCATACATAAATGGTTAAACAAACTCTGGTATATCCACACCATGGAATACTATTCAGTAATAAATAGCAACAAATTGATAAAGGCAACAACTTGGATGCATACAAGGGTATTGGATTGAGTTGAAAAAAAGCCAAACTCAAAAGTTCACAACTCTATGTTTCTGTTTCTATAACATTCTCAAAATGGCAAAATTATAGAGATGGAGAACAGGTACAGGTTGTCAGGCTTGCAAATGGTGGGAAGGAGGGTGGTAGTGAGTCTGTAAAGGGGTAGCACAATCAAGATATTTGTAGAGATGGACTAGCTCTGTATACTGATTGTGGTGTTGGTTACACAAATATAACATGTGACGAAATTATACAGAAGGATATACACAAGTCATACCAATGTCAGTTTCCTGGATTTGATTTTGTACTATAGTTACATAACGTGTAACCGTTGGGGAAAATTGGGTGAAGGTATGTGGGATTTCTATGTACTATCTTTGAAGTTTTCTTTGAATCTTTATTTATTTCCAAATGAGAAGTATTTTTAGAGGGAAAAGTATGAGAAGAAAGAGGAAGAGATTGTGAGGATAATGCAGGGAAAAAAAAAAGTAAGAGAGGCATACATTTTGGACCTTGAAATAATCATAATGATTCCAATAGCACAATCACATAAAAATATTAATAAGTGTGCAGCAGAAGTATTGACAGAAATCTAACAACATTCTTTCCTGGAAAAAAAGCTTAAAAAGTGTTAGCTTAACAGGAAATTAATGATATAAAAAACCTCTCACCTCCTGTGATCTCAGAGGCAATGGAACTTGGAAGAAAAAGACTGGAGGAGTGGAATTTAAGATTAGTCAGGAAAACTATGCCTTAGTAGTAAAATGTTCCAAGAATTTAATACTTTCTAAACATAGAAATGCATTACAAGTCTTTTATATTTGTATTAGTTATTACTTAACGAAGATGGAAACAAAGCATTTTAAGTGCCACAAACAGGTTATGAAGAAAATGTTATAAGGATGAAACTAGAATGTACACATCTATCATCTTGACTAATTGCCTCTGTAATTAGTTACACAAATTAGTTCAACAAAAGTGCTGAAGTACATTCACAAGTGATAATTTTTATGTTTTCAAATTTGGTATTCAACTTGAAATTTTGTGTTAAAACAATAGTTTCTGACTGTAGAAATACGTATTATGTTATTTTTCCCTGACCGTACCCAATCCAAGTGTTCTATTACAGAAAAATCATGATCCCAGGTATTCATGTGGCTACGAGCATGAACAGCATGAGAATTCAAGTCAGCTTATTCAGAGACTTGTTTTCTACTTATAACACCCAATTTAGGTAAAGTGAAGAAATTAAGACCCACAGAAGCCAATGCCACTTAATTGGAACATTCTCTGAGCCCGTAAATCTTGCAGCACCTTTCAGTATCTCTATGCCAAATACAAAGTTGAATCAAAATGTGTGTTCAATTAGGTCATGTAAACCAAAAGACACAGAACAAATATTCTATTTGTGCCAAAATTTGTTTCCTGATAATCTTAGAGACAATGTTTTCCCAGGCTTCTAACTCATTTTCCGTATCTGGAATCCTGAGGTGATTTAAGATGTCACTTAACTCACTGAAGAAACATGACTTAGACTGTGCCTGCTTATGTGAAAATGAATTAAATAATTAACATGGTCTGATATGAAAAACAATTACCCTACACATGTAGACTTATTCTTCTCAGCTTCTTCAGGTGTGTAGGAAGGTAAACAACATAGTCATACCATCTTCAAATCTTCAAGTGCTTCTTATAGCACTTTCAAAAAGAGTTCATTTCATCGTTTCTTATGGCTGAGTAGTATTCCAACATGGATGGACATTGAGGGCATGATGCAAAGTGAAATAAGTCAGAGGGAGAAGGTCAAATACCGTATGATTTCCTTCAGTAAGTAGTAGATAATAACAACAATAAACAAACACATAGGGACAGAGATTGGATTGGTGGTTACCAGAGGGGAAGGGGGGAGGGAGGAGGGTGAAAGGGATAATTGGGTACATGTGTGTGGTGATGGGTTGTAATTAGTATTTTGGTGGTGAACATGATGTAATCTATGCAGAAATAGAGGTACAATGATGTACACCTGAAATTTTTACAATGTTATAAACCAATGTTACTGCAATAAACAAAAAATTAAAAAAAAAAAATAAATAAAAAAAAAAAAAAAAAAAAAAGAGTTCATTGACTCAATTCTGCACAACATACAGCAGAGGTTTTTCTAAAGGGCTGTTGTGTAATTTGAAGTCAAATCCCTTGAGGAACCAGAAGCTCAGGAGATCAAGCCTAGAGGGGGGATATTAAAGTTATTTTATGAGGAAATAATTTGGGGACTTTGGGTCAAACATAATTGCACAAAATAAAAGTCTCTCTCCCTTTGGGACCACCCACACACACACTTTAAAATTCCACTTTTGACTCATCAACTGCTGCATGATAAGCACCAGCCCCTGGCACTGTGTAGATTTGCGATTCTAGAATAGAGTCCTGCTTCAGAGGCATTACAATCAGACAGGGATCCTTGGTACACAGCAGCACTAGGGACCCTGTGATTCACCCATGAGTTACTAGGATAGTTGGAGCGATGTAAGCAGAGGATATGGAAACAGTTTCTTGGACATGATGAATCTCAAAGGAAGGCTAAGTATAGGTAAATAAAAATAAAGGGACTGGGGTGTCTATGCAGCACTAGAGAGCTAAAAATTTGGGCAGCATCTTTGAGAGACAAAGGTAACCAACACTGGTTGTTGAAAATTTCAAATTATAAGGTTGGAAAAATAGATTTGGATCCAAACCTCATAAATATTTTAACATAGGCAAAGAAGTTTGAACTTCTTTCTGTAAGCAATAAGAAGTCTTTCAAGATATTTTAGAAAAGTGACGATATCTATTCACATAAAAGTTTCCACAGAACATTAATCTACTCACTGGAGATGTTTACTACATGCCAAGCATTTTTCAAAGTGCTTTGAGAGTATTAACTCATGCAAACTTCATAAGAGCCCAATGAAGTGGATTAATAGAAAGAATTAGATTCTCCTACCTCTCCCCACCTCACTCAGCCCACTTTCTATTCTTGGAACAAGCAAAGCAGGATTCTACCTGAGAAGTTTTCTCTCTTCCTTTCTCATTTTCTCTTCATTTTTCATCTTTCTTTCCATCCGCTTTCTCTCTTTAGCTTGTTTTTTCTTCAAAGCAATTATCATTACTAAATATTGAATATTTATTTCATCCTACCACCCTACAAAAATGGGAACATTTTTTGTTGGCTTTTCCATCCTCTCCCCCAGCTTCCAGAATAATGCCTTGAAAAGTAAATGCTGAATGAATATTTTTAAACAAATGAAGAAATGGACAAGCAATTCTAAGAGTGTGGCTGCAGGAAGAAAAGTTAGGAGATTAATCTAACTTCTTTTAGGTGTTGAGTAATTAGAATTTTCTGTGAGAATGGAAAGGAATTAAGGTTATTTCTCTGAGAGATAACCCAAGGAATACCAAACTTGAGCAGACAGGATTTTTTCCTGGAATGGGAGAGAGAAGAGCTGAGCCAAAGTTGAATAGTAAGTGACAGACTTGAGTGTCTGAGAAAATGTTCATGTATCTTACTAGACCTCAGCTAACTGGCTGGCCTTTGACTTCTGCCCTTGTATACCTTCTATAATTCATTTCCACCAAGGTCTTAAATGACCCAAGGACTGAAATTTGGTCTCACCACACAGATCATTGGGTTTTCCAGATCCAAGTAAATTTCTATTACCATTTATGCTATATCTTTAGAGAAGACAAAAATTTACTTTTACTGTGTTTGTGCTTGGCTCCAATTCTTCATTCCTACCCTGGCCTTGGGACATCTGACTGTTCCAGGAAGGTAGAGACAGAGATGGGTCACCCAGATCTCATCAAGGAAGAATGTTCAGCCTACAAAAAAGGAGTGCAGTGAGCAGACAGCCTTCAACTGTCAGCTTTTTCAGGGTCAGCCTCAGCTGCAGAGAGCCACCTTGCCCAAGGTCATGCCATTGCAGGAACAGACCCCAACAGGTGACTGAGTAGGCAGGAATATAAATGCCTGGCCATTTTCCCTTAGCTTGGGACAACTCTGACAATACTTGCTGTAGATTCTACCA